TCACTTTATTCAATAACAATCTTTACTGAATAAACATCAATAATAACTTTATTGAAAATAGAATATGCTTTTGTTTACAAACTTTGAGTTTTAGGACATAAAACCCAACAGATGAACCCTATTGCCGACAATTCGTCTAATTGCTTTCTCAAGTCGACTAGCTTTGGTGGAGCCATACGATATGCATGTTTCGCTGGAGGTTTGACCCAGGGAGAAGCTCAATTTCGTGATCAATTCCCCGACGAGATGGTAATGTTTTTACTAAGCTATATGACATTATGTTAGCCTAATTGTGAAGGACATCTATAACTTCACGGATGGGTTCGGTGGTGGTTACATCCTCCACCAAAGGTATGACCATGGATGTGGGCTCCTCTCAAAGCTAACCGTTGTTTTCAGTTGTAGGGTAGAAATCATTCTTAGGTCGCCTGGTTATGTGATGCTTCCGAGGATTACGGTGGGGTTGCAATTAGTAATCACTATGCATTTCGCCATCGACATTGGAATGACTTTGTGCTCGAAGAGGAAATCCATCACAAGTACCACATCAAAGTCATCCATGCAAACTACAACTAGGTCCATTTCTCTTGACCAAGCCCCTAGTTCAGGGAGATTCTCTTTGAGACTCCAACTGTAAGTACGGTCTCTAAGTTAATAGCTTTCATTTTTTTTTATAGGATCCTTCTCTATGACAAGTCACAATCGGTGGGTTTCTTAATCAGAGATTATATTATGGGTTGCGCTTGAATCTATTAAGGTGCTTTAGCTAGGTTGTGAGTTTATTGTTGCGTCCACGAACATCAGCCCCTTATTACTTACTTCCTTCGGGTCAAGCTTCTTTTGCATGGCCAATAGAAATTTCAACGCACACATTTTAAGTGTATCTTGATCTTCCTCTTTTTCTGCTACTAATTCAACTCTTGGGTGTTGCCCGTTTGTATGGAAACTTAGAGTGCAGTAAGGAGCGCTCGATGAGGACAATAGGATAACTTATGAGGTCTTTGCATAATAAGGAATGTAAAGGCATCACTGGATAGTTCCTTTGGGGTTAAGGCCCTCGAGACGCCCGATTATTGTAGTCTGAGGAGGTTTATCTGTTCTTCCATTTGGTTTACTGTTCTCTCCATTTGGCCTATTAAGGCTTTCTTCCGCTAACCCGGTGTCTTATAAGGTTTGCCTCTAGAGTTTGGGTTGGTGTACTCTTTCTTTGAACCTTTGCCCCAAAGTCTAGGAATCATTCTGTAGTAGCGAGTGTGGCGGCAAGATCTTGAACCCTTTGTTTGATAAGTGCCAACAATGCTGGATTTTGCAAAGCTAGAGGTCCTTCGAGAATCCTTGCAAACGTTCACAAAGAAAGTTAACTTAATGAATTGATTCCAACCAATAGCTAATTAGAGAATGAATGACTCGTAGATCGAACTTGGAATCTATGATGGTCACTCTTAGATTCCAAGATGACTCACTCCAGAATTAGCTTGATCAAAATTAATTCAATGAATCGGTTTAAACATCAAACCTAAAGCAAGGTTTGAAAAATAACACCAAAAAAGTATCAAGAAAACACAAAGGTTTTGTTTGTATTCAACAATAATGCTAAGCATGAATATTACACGCCTTTAAATAGGCCAAAAAGATAACCTAAACATAATGAAGTTCATCTAGCAACTACAAATTACAACTACCAATAAAAGCTTGTAAATACAAATGGAAGAAAATAAGGCAAACATAAATTGTCTTAATTGGTAGTTCAACTACCAAAGGTAAAGTCTTCTAATCACTTTCCAATGTCAATGTCAGCCACTCCATTATTTTCTTGATTTGATATGCTAATGCTATAAAGATTTTTGGGCTCAAAAGTCTTTCTTTCAACTTGTACACTAGCTAGCCTTTGAAAATGCAATGTATAGGTCTCTTGTATCTTCTTAGCCTTGTTTCTTGTAATTGGTCCTTCAGATACATGCAAAGGGTTAGTAGTTGAATTCATATCATTGTTCCTATAACTTTGTTTTGGTCTAGGGTTGCAATCGTTCAACAAAGTAAATTACTTTGTCCTTCTCAGACATATCTCTAATGTCTAGCATCAAAGTTGAGAACTGCTTAACATAATCTCTTATTCCTCTGATGTGCTTTAGTTGTCGCATTTTTTGTCTTGCTATGAATTATATATTTTTGGGAAAAAGTTAAGTCCTCAATTCCTTCTTGAGGTCTTCCTATGAGCTTATGGTGCATTACCCATTTTAAATGTCATTTACCTTCGAATGCCACCCTAATTTTGCATCATCTATGAGATGCATTGTGGCCATGGTGACCTTAAACTCTTTTGAATAGGTCCATGCGAATTAGTAGTATTGTTCTAAATTGAAGATGAAATTTTTTTAGTTCCTTTGCACCCAGTTCTCTTTGAAAGTTTTGGGTTCCTCGATCTTCAGTTTATTGAGCATGATTTGGGCTTAACCTGAGGTTTGAATGTTCTATGACCTGCATGGTCAGGTTCATTCGGGTGTTCAGTTAAGCCTTGATGGCATTTATTGTTGTCCTAAAGTCTTCAATCAAGTAAGCCTTGATGGCATTTATTGTTGTCCTAAAGTCTTCAATCAAGTAAGCCTTGATGGCATTTATTGTTGTCCTAAAGTCTTCAATCAAGTTGCCGACAAGTTTCAACATGGTCTCTTTTGTAATTTCTATCTCTTCGACACGTCCTTCCATGCCTATGATAGAGCTCTCGGAGCTACCTCCATGTTTTGAGCTGTTTGATCGTGTAGTTCTTTCTTCTAGGGAGCCAATCCTAAATATAAGTTCTTTGATTGGCAACCCATTATCTTGGTAGTCAACCCTAACCCTAATTGAGTCCAAATTTGGTCTAGAATTCAAAACTTACCATTTTCTTGATGTTCACCATAACACCACTTTTCGATTTGAATTAACTCCGTCTTTCTTCACAAAAATTGTGTGAAATCCCTCCAATATCAACATACTAAAAATTCATAACTTAATTACACGAAAGACTCAAATATTAAGGAAAACCGAAATCAAGAACACAAAACGCTTATCTTCGCTTCTTCCTCGATTCTTGATGGATTTGAACAAATCAGAAGTACATAATGATTTTTCCAAGGCCTCTTAGCTTTTTTTTTTTTTTTGAAACTTCAGCAAAATTCTTAATTCAAACTACATATGGAGCGAATTTTGACTTTCTCTCTACTCTCTCTCAAGATCCCTAAACCTTCATTTTCTTTTCTCTTTTCCTCATTTTTTTCCTTTCCTTACTTGCTAGAATTGTGATTAGATCTAATTCCATACTCCTAATTAGGAATATAGTTTAAAATGATCATTTATCCATTAGGTTTGACTTTGATCAAAATTTTTAATTTTCTACCATTTTTACTATTTTTCTTGAATTCTCGTGAGTTTTCTTCCACATTTTTCTCTTCTACTTCATCTTCAAATTTGACATATGAGATCTCCAATAAAATTTTGTAAGTTTGACTTCAAAAGAAATAGTCGGGTATTAATTTATCATGTTACAAATAGTAAAGAAAGTGGCAAAAATCAAAAATCAAAATTCAGTTTGAACCATTGAATTGTAATGGAAAAGAAATGGATGGTGGAGATTAAAAGTAATGGTAGGGCTAAATTTGAAAAAGTTTATTTTCTCCTTTTTATTTTAATTTATAATGATGACAATAATAATAGTAACAATGAATTTTATTTTTCATTAATAATAATAACCAACGGTCACAAGTTTAAATTCTTTTTTAATAATAATAATAATAATAATAAAAGCAATGACAACACCTCACATAAATTTAAGTTTCTTTTTTTGTAATAATAATAATACATATATACGAAAATATTTCTTTTATTATAATAATAATAATTTTTTTTTACCGTAACTTTCCGTATTAAATGGTTTTTTTTAAATTTTTTTAAAATATTCCGATATATATATCCTTCCAACTCAGTAACGTCATCTTGTCCAATATTTTTTATTCAATATTCTTCGGTCTTAACTTCTTCGTTATAAACTTAATTTGAGTGATTCAAAAAGTATTAAGATGAACACTTTAAAACATTAAAACTTTAGTACATAAGAGTAGTTTGCTACCATCAAAATGTTAATGAACAAATTAATTAAAACTAATTAAGGTAAAAAAACCAACCTTTTATTAATTGAGTTGGCTAAAAAGTCATTTTCACCCCGACAAATCAAAGGAAAAAACTCTTGCAATGAGAAGTTTATAATTTAATCAGGGATAAGATCGAATTGTATATAATAATCATATGAAATATTATCTTCTAATCTTGTGGATGGACAAGTTTATAAAAAAAATATTAAATAATTATAATTTGTGGTTCAGTCTCATGCAAATTCTTCCTATCTCATATGTTTTCACATAATGATTTAAATAAAATCATTTGTAATAATTTACAAAAGGGGACGTATCCTATATATTGTTACTTGAACATGATTCTCATGTAATGTCAACTTCATGGTGTTTAAAATTACATTAACAATTTTGAATTTTCATACATAAAATAATTTATGGCAAATAAAATTATCAAAATTAATATTAAAAATTAAAGAATTAATTATAAGGATTTAAGACAAAATTGTTATGAATACTTTGTTTGTTTTAGTTTTAATGTAGGGTATAGACATATTAAAAATACAAAAACTAATTTTGAACGTTTGAAATATATAAACTAAAATAAGTGCTTAAGTATAGGATTATAAATGACATTTTAATTTTTAGTCTAATCAAAATTATGACACTCTCTTTTAATTTTGACGTGTTTTAATTAAGTAGGATATTGTGACGGTATAAAATATAAAATGAGGAATTCAATTTTAAACCTTATAAAAGAAAAATATGTCATTTTTACTAAACTATGCTTTCTATGTGGACATTAAATTGGTAATTTAATTAAGAAAAATATTAAAAAGAAAAAAAAACTTAAGAAGTTTTTAAACTAAAGTCAGTTTTGGATGATGAACGGAAATCTAAGGTTGAAGGAAAACAAATCGTCGGTTGAAAACCACTTTTGGGCTCAGTAGTTCAACGCTAAACTTTTACTTTTCTCATTTTATGATCTTTGGCTATGAACCAAAATTTACTTCATCCTAATTAATTTGTTGCTTCGTTACTAACGATGGGAGTTCCGTCATTTTTTTGTTTCCAATTTGCAGCTTCAAAGAAAAACTAGATTCAAGTTGATTTACCGGTGTGGTTTTGATCTCTGTGTTGATAAATCTTGAAACTCTTCAGCTTTGGGACCACAAGCAAATCGTCTCTGTTCTTCCATCTTCATCTTCAATCAAGCTTTGAATCCATTCATTTTTGAAGCTCGATTCAAATTCCTGAGGGGTAATGGCGGTGGAGACTTCGGGGCGGCTGAAAGTGATCATAATCCAAGGGAGAGATCTGGTGATTCGAGATTTCAAAACTAGCGATCCGTATGTCGTCGTCAAATTGGGGAAACAGGTGAATGTTCTTCAAAATCTCAACTATTTCTTCAGAATTTCATCCTTCGAGCGTTGGTGTGAATGTTCTTCAAAATCCAAACTATTTCTTTCGAATTTCATCCTTCGAGCGTTAGTGTGAATGTTCTTCAAAACCTCAACTATTTCTTCAGAATTTCATCGCGTTAGTGAATGTTCTTCAAAATCTCGACTATTTCTTCAGAATTTCATCCTTGGAGCGTTATCACCTAATTCAATTAACGATTCACATTCTGAAACAGAAAGCAAGGACGAAAGTAATCAGCAGTAACCTAAATCCAGTATGGAACGAGGAACTGAACTTCACGATGGACACGAAACACTCTGCAGTCTTGAAATTCGTAAGTGATTTTTGCGATCTCACTCGAGCGCTGGATCGATCTCCGTTTTTGTTTCCGCATCTGACCAGATTGTTCCGCAGGAAATGTTCGACAAAGATCTGTTCAAGCGAGACGACAAGATGGGGCGAGCAACGTTCAACCTTCAGCCAATGCAGTCGGCAAGTCGGCTGAGTAAGATTCTAGGAATATCGGGGGGCGAGACGACGCTGAGGAAGGTGGTTCCGGGAATGGACGACTGCTTTCAGGAGGAATACTCGATACGATGCGTGGATGGGGAGGTGGTGCAAGATGTTTGGCTGCGCCTCACTGGAGTTGAGTCCGGAGAGATTCAAGTCAGAATCATATACGTAGAAGATGAAAGTGTGGGGAGCTGGGCTACAAATTGTAAACGGGAATTTTGTTAATTTTAGTACATTTTATTTATATTTAATTTCATAATTTATATTTTTTTTATTCTTTATTCTCCACCCACTCTATTTTTTTTTTTAGCATTTAATTATTTAAATTAACCCTTTTTTTTTTTATTAAAGGTTTAAAAATAAATTAATAAATATTTTTCGAATTAATATTTTATTTTTATTAAAAATAAAAATTTAAATAAATGATTCAAATAATCCAATCCAACCCCATCTAACAAATTTTTTGATCGGTTGAAATAAATGTTTATTTTAGTTGATGAAAGATTAATATCACAATTCTAGGATGAAGTCTCCTCCTTAGCTTAGGATATATTTGAAAAGTTTGAAGGGTTTTGGAGCTTCCGATGGATTCAAACTTACTTACAAAATGTCGGGAAAGAATAAGCTTTTCATTGGCTCTAGGCCGTCTGCTACTAGTCTTATCGTGGAGTTGCTACCTCATGTGTGGCTATTGAGGCTATATGGCATCTTACCTAGGGGTGTGCTGAATACCTCACATATCGTGTAGTAATATGTAACAGGCCAAAAACTAACCCTCACGCGTGTAGCTTGCTCTTCCACGTACCGAAGAGACAATCAACATGCACGGCGTGTTAGAAATCATGGCTTTGCTTTGGGCTTCTCCAAAAGATCTCATATTAATGGAGTTAGTATTCCTCACTAAATTAACCAATGTGGGACTCACTCCTAATAATCCTCAGCACCGTGCATACAAGCATGAGGGAAGAGAATGGGCATTATGGTGCTGCCACATGGCACGATGTGGTTGGTCCGCAGAGGCCAAGGGCATGAGTTTGAAACAGGAAGCATGCACTAGGAATCTGAATTCTCTTACGCTGACGTCTTTTGGGTCGTGCGCAGGTTATCGAGTTGTCGGCCTTCGAATCCTACCGGACGCGAGATATTTTTTTTTGACTTTCTCTCCACAAATGACGATGCGATGCGTGTCCTCATGAGTAAGATGTGCGGCTTCCCTCCTTTCCGACACGTGGCTCTGTACATATTTGACACGTGTCCCTTCTCCTTCAGACGCGTGCGTTTTGCATTTCCTATATTACATTCTATTTTACATTTTCTTTCTAATTTATTTGAATTTTGATAACTTCTACATAACTCGTTTCAATTTGGTTTCTTTGTAGAAGTTGTAGTGCTTGTATCCATATACACGTAAGTATTTTTTTTTTATGATTTATTTCTAAATATAAACGAATATAATAGAGTCCAAATTTTGCTAATAGTATAATACTCATAGATCTTAACGAACGCCCGGACTCCTATCATTGGTCTGTATCGACTACAACTTCCTTCATCGATTATGAGTGCAATCCTTCCTAGATTAACATACTTAAATTTCAAAACCTAACTCCTAATTTTTCTCATAGATATGAAGAAAATACGAGGATAATGATTCAAAAACTTACCTTCGGATTTTCCTTATTTCTTGATGGTTTTGGATCGAAAACGCTCTCCTCTAGGCTATCTCTAGGTTTTGTGATGGAGGCTCGGCCGGAATCGGATTTCTTATAGTCGAAATCGGAGTTAATTCCCCTTCTCTCTCTAGAATTTCATTTCTCTCTTTTTTTTTTTCATTTCTTTTCTTATCTTTTCTACAACGACCCCAAATTTTCTACTTAATTTAAGGTCACTTTGTATACTTATCATGAATATTGAATGCGAAATTACTTTATTTAAACTTTCATCTTAAAACACAGTCATGAACTTATGTGTTCGAAAATATCTTTAAAACTACACCACAAAAAACTAAATAAAATAAATGAATGATTATATTAAAAACATCCTACTCTGACCTAAGTCTAAGAAAAATAAATGTGACTACCCTATGCATGTGTCATGTTTTCGAGTTGCGATGTTATCATTAGTCATACAGGAATACCTTGCTTTAACCTGAAATAGAAGTAACACGTGACTTGAGTATTTAAAGAAATACTCAGTAAGTGACCCCACTATTGAAATTAAATGCAAATACATGCAATTTCATGAATGTGACATATCATAACAATCTGTTTTCCTACCGGAGTATTCCTACCGAGCAACTTGGATGCGTAATCACTTTTCCTACACACGGTCCACACGTGCGAGTATGGACTCATCAGTCGGTTTACACACCTCATGGGTCTCTTTTTGGTTGGGTGAGCATACTTTGGGAGCTCTTGATGTCGGACACCTGTTAGAATTATGATAAACACAATAATCATCGCAGCTTTATGATAAACACAATAATCGTTTTCCTGTCTTGTAATGTACGCATCCGTACTATCATGAAGGATAAGGGGTATCCCCTAATGCATGAGTCCTAAAATTTTTCCATTTGCATTATCATTTAATACAACCCCGTTAGCATTTTGTACATATCATATCGTTTTTCATATTATTTCTTATGTCGTTTAACATATCATTTATCATATCTTTCGTGCATACGTCGGGGTTGTATTTCATGCTAGTTTGTCGTTTTGCATGTCAATCATATCATATTATTTGGCACACATACATCATATCATAACGTTTTAATATTTCTAGACATATGAATTCTCAACATGCACGTATCATATCATATCGTAACAATCACATAACATATTCCTAACATATCGGTTCATATTATGTCATATCATAAACATATCAATAGTTACAAATTTCGTATCATAACCTATATCATATCATTCTCATACCATTTTACTACATATTTATATATATATTCGTCATTCTCATATCATATCATTTCATAAACACTTCGTGGTCATATCATTCCCTAACTTATCATAGCCTTCATGTTCATATACATACCACAGTCATATCGTTTCATGAACATACCTTAGTCATATCGTTTCCTAAACTTATCCTAACCATATCATTTCATAAGTCCATCATAATCATATCCTTTGTGATACATATCGTATCGTTTTATCAGTCTATCATAACAATAATGTTTTTCTATACATAACCTTATCGTATCATTTTATCAGTTTATCATAACCATAACATTTTCTATACATAAACATATCGTATCGTCTTATCAGTCTATCATGATCATAACGTTTTTCTATACATAGCCTTATCGTATCGTTTTATTAATTCATCATAACCATAACATTTCCTATACATAACCTTATCGTATCGTTTTATCAATCTATCATGACCATATCCTCGTAGTCATATCGTTTCCATATGCATATACTTAGTCATATCGTTTCCCAATATATCCTAAATCATATCGTGTCATGAACATATTCTAGTCTTATCGTTGCAAGAACGTAGCCTAATCATATTGTTTCATGAACGTATCCTAGACATATCGTTACAGGGACGTATCCTATTCATATCATTACAGGAACATATCATAACCATATCATTCTATCAATATATCATAATCATATCCGTTTCTATATATAATCGAACCATACCGTTATATCAATCATATCTTAGTCATATCATTACGTTTGTTGCATCCTTCTCGTATCCTATCTCACACATATCATTGAACACATCATAACGTAAAAGTTATCATATTATTCACATATCATAATACATACATAACATATCATAGTCATATTAATTCATAAACAATTCACACATATCAAATCTATGATACGTGCAGAACCACAAAGCACGTGTCAGCATCAAATATAACCATGTCGATAGTAAGATTATTTACTTCGTTAACTTAGGTTGGTGTCACCAATTTTTCCTAATTCTAAAATTAAAAAAAAAAACGAAAAAAAGTAAAACTAATAGCTTTTAGAATTAAAAACAAATGTGACTACTGAGAATCAAGCCTAGATCAACCTGAAATTCTCACCGCTAAATTGCAACTAGTTTGATATTTAGCCAATCATTTATCAAAATCTAGTCTTTTGGGGCTCACCTATCACCTCATCATTTTTTACCAACTTTGATCTGGTCTTGCCGGCTAATGATTAAGAATAAACAAGAAAACTTCTTATTGTCTCCACATCATATTGTTCATAATGTGAGAGCTCTTCTTGATGGTTTAAAGTTAAGCATAAAAACTAACAAATCCTTTATCATTTCCTAGACATGATCGTATCATCTCATAACTCATTGCAACATAGAGGACAAGACATGGAGGCAAGAAAGGGATATGATGGTGACTTGTAGGAGAGTTGGAGGATCCAACATGACTGACTTAAGAGGTTGATGTGGTGATATGACTATGACTTGTAGGAGGTTGATGCGTGACTAGAAAAAAGAGATAATATGAAGTTGACTAAGAGGACGTAACATGTCGATGACTTATAGGATGTTTGGGGGAGGGACATGACTATAAATTAGAGGAGGTGTATATAGTAACTTTGAATAGAAGGCTTAAAGGTGACTTCATGGAGGCAATAATGACAATATTTGATAGCGACAATATGACTACGATATGGTAGAGGCTTGGATGTAAATTGAAGAAGGAGATATGATGATGACTTATCGGAGGAGGTCAAATTGATGTGACTTGAAAGAGAACAACACAATGACTTGCAGAAGAAAGTTTGATAGTTATTTGGAGGAGATGGCATGATAGGGAATTGGAGGTTAACTTGGTGGAAGTAATATACAATGAGTTGGAAAAGGTTAACTTTGCTAAGGTAGTATGTTTGTGACTTGGGAGAGCGGCATGACAGTGATAGTGTGCATACATGTCATGCCAATTAAAAAATTATGGAAAAAATCAATCCTACACATGACCTAGAATTAGCGGCGGTGGTGCTTGCATTAAAAATTTGCATCACTACCTGTATGGCGAAAAGACCCAAATTTTTAGGGATTATAAAAGCTTAAAATAGTTCTTCACACAAAAGAAATTGAACATGAGACAACGAAGGTGGCTAGAACTATTTTAGACTATGATATAGATATCTAGTACCATTGTTGAAAAGAAAATGTAGTCACAGACGCACTAAGTTGAAAAACGGTACACTCATCGGCCCTCATTACAAGAGAGCCACGAGTGCGAAGGAATT